TGACAAGGACAAAACCCAGAAGGACCATGATTCTGATTATGGCTTCTTGTATGGTATAGAAAAACTCAAAAACTACACCTCAGGTGGAAACAGTCTCTATCTCTCCTTAGTTTGGGTATCATGTTAAATGAGTATTTGAGATGCTCTTTAAAAAAGTCAATTGTAAAGTAAATATATACCTGACATCACTGGAGTAAGCTTTAGGGACCATGCTAATTATAGTGCTGATTGTAGAGAGCAAACAAACAAAAAATCAGAGGCTTCCCTTGTTTTCTTTAAATCTTGCAGATATACTCAGTGTTCCAGCATCCTCAAAGCTCCCATCTTTTTACAACCAGCTCCTTTGTTCTCTGCACGCTGTTTAATGATATCCCATCTCCATAGGACACACAATCAGAGCCTTTATAGAACAGAGGGTCTGCAGCCTTCTTTTAAGACAGTGTGAAAGAACCACTTTAACAAAATAGCTGCCATTTTCCTTCAACTTGTCTCCAGTTTACCAATTGCATACTCACAGCACAATCTATTTCTGCCTTCCATCTACTGCCAAAGTAGCTGAAAAGGCCTTTATGGATAGCTGAAAAAGATACTGTAATTTGAGTCATCTTTTCCCCTGTTCTAATTATTATTTTAACAGGCTTCTTCTTATTTTAATACATTTTTTTAATAAGGAAATCTTACTTACAAATTTTAATTAGCTTACTGAATATTCACTGCTTTGGAATAAGTAGTTTAATGAGTAAGGAGATCTCAGACTACTAACTAGCCTGGAGTCTCTGAAGTAGCTAGGGGGGAATGAAGCAGCCTTTGTGATAGAAGCCCTGGCCTGTGCCTCACAAACCGGGACTCTGCAACCGAGGCCTCAGGGATTGAGGAATCACACTGCCTCTTGCTGGAAAAAAGTAAAAATCACTTTCTTCCTTTTTATCAAGAACCTCTGTGTAAGAACCTCCAGCCCTCCTGAAGACCCGTGCCTCTTGTCAAATCATTAATCTCTCTGAACATTAGTCTCCTCATCTGTAAGGGTTTTAGGCACTTTTCTTCACAGCCGATTGCTTATAAAAGTTGGTCTTGTGCACCACTGTAAAGGCTCCAAATACCTTAGCTGAATAAACGAATGAATGAAAGAATGAATTTTAATGCTGCCAACTAACCTTTTTACCGTTTCAGGTTCTCATCTGTTAAAAAAACGAAACAAAAAACGCCAATCTTTTCTTTACAGTATATTTCAATTAGACTAGCAATGAAGAACAAGTTAATATTTTTCATTCTAAAAACTTCTGGCACAGAAAGTACAGCCAAAATTATTTAAATTCAAAAATGGAATCAGAAGAACAATGGAGATTTTTGTGACTTGTTAACTTGAATAATCAGTGCAAGTTAGCTCTATTCTAAAAAGTAAAAGCATATTAATATCTGCTCCACTAACTAAGAATATGTGACAATTTAAGTATGATTCTTAGGACTTATGACATTTGAAATAATTTCTTCTGTGAATTTCTAGGCTGTTATATAAAAGGGGAACTCCAGCTTAATCAAACCAAGCCTTAGGACAACAGAGATTTCAAATTCTGAGATCTGCCTGTAATCCCATGTTAAGGATCTTTATCTTTATAATATATTAGCATAAATTAATGTATGACTAATAAGATTTGTACATTTTTTACTTACTTATGCCTATTTATATATTATAATGTACAGTAAATTTTAAAAACTACAATATATATTAATATGTCCAAAACCAAATTCCTATCTTTCTCTCCCCAAAACCTACTCCTCCCTAAACCTTCCCCATTTCATGACAATTCCATCCTTCCACTGCTCAGGCCAAAAATTAGTCATCCTTTACTCTCCTTCTTTTCCAGCCTAATCGAATCTCTCAGAAAACCTCTCACTATCCCTTCACAATTATCTGGAGTCCAGCCACCTCTCATCACCTTTACATCATCCTGGCCCAAGGCACCATCATCTTACTCTATACAGGCTGTGGCACTCTACCTGGTGCCTCTGCTTCTCCTTGCTTCCAGGGTCTATTGTTAATATAGCTGCCTTGGTTTGAGCCTGTTAAAACTTAAGCCAGATCATGTGATTCTTCAGTTTTCCTTAAAAGCTCAAGTCATTACCATCATAAATAATAAAAGCCTACTATGCTAAGTGCCTGGTCGTTCACTCAACCAATCAAAGCATAATATGCTAATGATATGCTAAGGCCACTCAACTGCTCACTATGACGTGCACTGCCCACCATGGGGCAGATAGTTGACCGGTTGACCAGTCACTATGACCTGCACTGACCACTAGGGGGCAGACATTGGAATTCTAAGTCAGAATGCTATTATAAGAGACAGAAAACCAGGCTTGGCATCATCAGCTGGTATTCAGCATGAGCCCAATTCTTTCACTAATTTTTGGGGAAATGCACACACTCCAGAAAATACCACTTGACATAAATGCACGTCTAATTTCACCTGTCCTGTCTAATCCAGCAAATTATATTGTTACTTAGTATTTCAAGTGGCAATGAGTACTACATAACCCAGATAGTAATGTTTTATAAAATGCATGTTTTTATAAGCTGGTGACTCAAATTGACTATATTCCATTTCAAACTGAGGACAACCCTCCCCGCAAAAAATTTTTTTAAAAAAATCAAGGAATAACACTATATAGGACAATGACAATAACTATTAAATAAAATCTTAATTATAAATCTAAGTTTGCTCTAAAGGTTCTATGGAAACTAATGCCAAGACAAGAACTGGATAACATCTTCAACCCAGCCCCTATTCCCTCAAATAACACTGACTTTCATTGGAATGTGAAGGGGATCTTTAGTATCTTGCCCTTCAGATGCACGAGTAGGAGTATTTATTTAGAAACTACTTAAAATTTTTTGTCTTATGTTACCTCTAGGAAACATTGAAATTTCTGGCAAGAGTCAGCTTTTCCTTAATTTCCACTGCAAAAACAGGTTGGTAACTATTGCATATGCATGGTATAAAGAAATAATATTCAAATGAAAATCTATAAGCATCAATATGAATATTTAAATAAAACTGTATTCTCAAGCCAATACCAATAGGATATACTTATTTTTAAAGAAAGTACAGTTGTTGCCCATCCCCAATGTAAATATCAAGATATCTGTTTAAAATGAAATGTATTTTTGTTAGATGATGACAACTAACTTCAGGGCTACAATTTATTAAAGACCTGTAAAACAAAATACAAACTGTGACAGAAATGAATTTAATTTTTCTGTCTAATGGATAACAAGGAAGCACAGAAATCATTGGGAATCAAATACCATAACAGCAAGGTTATCAAGAAATGACTTGGTGAATTCCTCAAAGCTTTCACCCAAGAGTTATATTAAATTAGTGTCCCAGGGCCTGGATTCATGCATATTGAAAGGAAACTAATTAGAAGAAATATTTTAGTATTGCTATTCCCCTTTCTCTATAATAGAAGTGTCAACCAAATTCACGATCAACAATGACAGATTGAAACACAAGCATGCGATTGGTGTCAGCCAGAGCTTTATATGTATCGTGCATGTGTGAGTCAACTTAGCCTTTTATATATATAGAATAAACTTTCTTAATTGGAACTGCTTTCTGATTTAGCTAAACTTTTTCCAGCCCAGTGAAGCACCCCAACTTCTCTTTCAGATAATTGTCAGCAACACAGCAGTAAATATCAAGATTATTATTGTAAGTCACACAAGGAGAACAAAGGGTAAAATATTTAACTGCAGGAGTATTTGACTTTATTCTGTGCAGTGACAAAACCTGAAGTTACTTTCAAGTTCCACCATTTCTTACTTCTTTTGAGTCAGGTCAAGTTTTCTAAACTTTTTAAATCTCTGCTTTCTGGTTAATGAAAAGAAAATAGAATTCCACTGAGTCTCCTATCTACCTACTCCAGGACTTCTGTGAGAATCAAATGAGATGAGGCATGTGAAAACACTTCATGAACATTTGGTTAATCTGTAAAATGTTTGCACCTGGCTAAAAAGTAAGTTGGGTTCCTGAGCTAAAGAAACTCCAAGGAGGCTAATCACTAGGGGGAGGAAGCCAGGCGATACTACACGATGTCATTACCCGGCACCCACAGGGACTGTTTCCAGGTTGGGCTGTGGGCCAAATTTTGTGTCATGGGGTTTCTGCAGTGTTGGCTTGAGATTTGGTGGGGTGTTGCTCTGGAGTGGTGGCAGGGCCTGTGTCCCACTTGCGGGAAGCCTAGTGTTGGTTTGTTGGTGCCAGGTCTGTGGTGCCATTTATTTTTAAATGGTCAGTGTGCACTATGGCAGCTCCTGCATTGAGCACTGCCCCCTGGTGGTCAGTGAGCATCACAGCTACTGGTCGAACATACAGACACTTAGCCTTTATATATACACACACACACACACACACACACACACACACACACCGTATTTTCCGGCGTATAAAACGACCTTTGAAACGAAAAAAAGTCAACCGAAAATCAGGGGCAAAAGACCAAAATTGCACAAAAATTACCTGCAGATCTTGATGGCAAAGTAAGTCTTTTCTTTGAAGTGGGGGGTAGTCTTATACAGCGAATATAGGCCTAAACCTATGTTTTAACTGTAAAATTAGGGGGTCGTCTTATACGCTGGAAAATACGGTGTGTGTGTGTGTGTGTGTGTGTGTGTGTGTATATTTCTTTTCAGCAACAAAAAAAATTGGTTTCTCATTGGAGGAAGCCTGGCCAGTCATCTAAATTGGGAAAAGCAGGACTACATGTCACTAAACTACCTCTTCCCACGGCATGTTTATGTCCTTTCTAGTGAAGATTTACACTAGGGTTGCAGGTGACTATCTTGTCTCCTTGACACTTAGGAAAAATATGATATTTTCTTTATGTCTTCTCTGATGATGGAAAATAAGGATATGTAATTTGGCAAGAATGCTCTGAGGAAAGAACAGGGTTTGTGAATTTCTGGGGAAACAACACAGACCGTCAGAGTCCTTACTCACCTGGGACACTGTGATGCTGCATTTCTTGGCCAGCTCCTCTTTGGCTTCTTCACTGGGGTAGGGGTTGCTGAGGTGTGAGTAAAAATATTCATTCAAGATTTCTGTGGCTTGTTTACTGAAGTTACGCCTTTTTCGTCTATGACAAAAAACAAAAATAATTGTAGTTATAATCAGCACTAACCAAATTAGGATCATACAAAAAAAAAAGTAGACTTCTATTTTTAAACATTCTTGGAATCTAATTTACTAATTTGGCATTATAAATTACACTCTTGGCATCCTCCAAAGCACTATCCGATGCATTTTAAGATTTAGAATGACTAAGAAAAATACTAAAATGGTGAAGCACAATTATAACTTCATTCTTTAATTTAGTCAAGTATTTACTAAGAATCTAATGTTTTAGGTACTTTATAAAGATTCAATTGGAACAAAACAGATAATATCTAACAGAGTGTTTAAAAGAGATCAGTGGGTTAAGGTGAAAAGTAGGAAGTTAGGGGGGGAAAAGATATTAGACAAGTATCACAGAAATAAATAATTACAAATTGTGGTGACCATATCAAGTACGATGAGGGGAAAGCATACGATATAATGAGAGTGTATCAGAGGGGAACCAAACAGATTATAGTGTCAGGAAAGGTTTCCTTGAAGGAGTGACATTTAATCTGAGACCTGGAAAATGTGCAGTAGTCAGTCAAAGAATAAAGGGAGGAGGAATGAGTAAAGGAAACGGTCCTGTAACGAAAAGAGGGTGAAAAGTCCAAAGGGCTAAAGAAATCTAGATCACAGTAAACTTTAGAATATGTATGAGATGAATCTGGAAGGATAGGCAGGGGTCAGATTATATAGGCTTAGTGAGCCCCATAAGAATTTTTGGTAGCAGTTTTTAAGTTATTCTTCTTTAAAATCAGTACTTTTTAATGGAAACAACATGACCAAAAATCTGTCACAGAATTTTGAGACCCATTAAAATAACAAAGTTTAATGAGAGAGAAAAAAGAATTTTTGGATTTTATTTTACTACGCGGAAGCTACTAAAGATTTTATATCTTTTTAAAAAAATATTTGTTCTGACTGCTAAGAATAGTGGGAGGAGGCCATGAAAGGAAAGACAGATATATTTAAGGAGACAACTAATGGTCAAATTGAAAGATGATGGTAACAGCATAAGGTAAGAGTAATGGGAATAAAAAGATTCAAGCTCTATTTGAAAGGTAAAAGCAATAGGACTTGATGACTTGGGAGGAGGGAAATGGGAAGAGAAAACAGAAAAGGAAAGTAAGGGAAAAAATACACCAGGGGTTTCTAGATTTGACTGTTTAAGCAACTACCTGGACTAAGGTAAGATTTGCTCACAGAGAAACACTACGGGAGGAAAGTATTTCTTTACTGGGAGAGGGGTGGCAGTGTCAGGAGATCAAGTATTTATTAACAATTTACATTAAATAGCAAAAATGCCATTTGTTACAAAGTTTTTAATGAATTTTAGCATGAAAATTAGCATTGTCAGACTTCACCTTAAATCAGATTCTCTAGTAACTGAAATATACTTTCCCTAAATAATCTTAATGATCTTCTCACTTGTGATATCCTACACTCAGAAAAGACAGAGTCAGTAGACAGTTGTAAATGTGTAGACCCTATGAGATCCGTCTAGTTACAATGATGCCGCTAACATGGGAGGTTAAGCATGTCATCTGTGGCTCAACATCAAGGAAGAGTCCAGGGAGCAAGAAATCTAGGTCTGATCCAAACATCTCAAGTTATCAAATCTATAATTTCTTATACTGTTTCCTAAGGGATGAAGAAGAGAATCAAGATCTATTTGGGGATTAAAATCAATAGGATTCGATAATGAATTGGATGGGGAGATGGTAAGGAAAGACAGAGAAGGGGAGGAAGATATATACCAAGAACAGCAATTAGCATTTTTGCAGGAGTCATGTACGGCTTGAAAAGGAAACAAAGCCCTGACCTGGGGTACTCTGAGGCACACTCAGGAGGTGGTTCGGTGAGCAGGGTGGAAAACATTGAGAATAAGTGCTGAAACTGTCAAGCCTACCTATAGCTACCTGGTCCACATAATGCTCACTGAGAAGAAGAAGGGACTAAAGGTGATACAGGGATTTGCTAAACTAGGAGCAAATGGTAGTTAAATTAGGTGGCAGATGTTCCTTATCTGGCTCTAAGGAAGAGCTCATGCCACGCACTTTGTTTTCCAGTTGAGAAGCTAACTTAGTTATTTTCTCTAATACTGAAAATTTGGATGATAATTATCACCTGTCAGATTCCAAGGATGAAAAATCCAAATGAAATAGAAACTCCTTTCCAAAGCTGAAGATTGATCACAAGCTTTAGCAATGCTCAAGAGGCAACCCTGCAGAGGCAGCATGCAGTAGCAACTTGACAATTCTTTTATTCTGTCACCTGGTAGGTCAAACACACCATATACAACTTACCACCTAATTCCTGTGAAACTCGGCGAAAGCTTCAGGTAAAAGGGAAGTTTTCATCCTTACAGAAGAAACTCATAGGCTTTCTCACTTGACTTGGAAAAACAGACTTTGGGGCTTTGTGGTCACCTCTATTAATTAAAATGCCACTGCCTTCTTAGGAGCATCAGCATTTCCTTACAATATACACAAGCAATGTAACATCAACAAATTCTTAGAAAACAAGCCTTTGTTAAAACAGAGTTACAGACTGAAAGTTATCCTTAAAAATACTTTTTAGTATCAGATTTCAAAGGCTACCTATTCTAAGTCATTAGGAGAGACTAATCCTGTTTCCGAGCTACCAAATTGAAGCTAATACACCAGCACTCCCAGATAAGAGGCTTGACAGCCCAGACACTCTGAGGCGAATTACCTGTCCATTGTAGAGAAGAGCTCTTACAGCCAAATTAACAAAGTATCTAAGACCAACCAACAATTTTTATAGGAAATAATATAAAAGGAGTAAAAAGGGAGGAAAGCCACACAATAGATTTGTGGCCTTACATACCTGGCATCAAGGAACCTTGATCTTAAAATCATAACTGCTTCACAAGTGCTTTGTTTGAGCTGCATCTGAATGGAACTAAATTTTCGATGGATGATGCCCACCATTCTTTCAATCTCTTTTGGGGAAATGGGTCGTGTTCTACTCTGCTCTCGGAGAAGGTTCATCACATGTGTAGTGAATTCATTACATGCCTGTAAGGGAGGAAAAATCACTCTTTAGAAAGTTGGTATTTTATATGATCACACCCAGACATGAACTCATCTGAATTTCTACCTCATTTGCAGTTGCTGATGGCATGATGCAGTGGGTAGGGTAAGATGAAAACTAAGACACTGGTGAAATGGCAGCGGTAGTTAGCGCAACAAGAATTCTGAAAATGAATGGCCAGACATGCAAGGGAGACATTGCACTCAACTGTCCTTCCACTGACCCTTGTCCCAGTTCCAAAATGAGGTGTTCCCAGTGGGGAGATGCTCTCTACTAACTCTTATCGATAAATATGTTTATTGTTAATACTAAGCACCTTCTAATATCACTGAATTTTTACATATATTCAACAAATGTTTACTGAAGGACTATATGAATGTCAAACTTTTCTAAGTGCTATTAAGGGACACAGAAATGAGCAAGACATAGACCTGGCCTCCAGTGTGATATAATATGTAACAAAATTAATTTTCAAACAAGGCAGGCTGTGCAAGGTGTCACAGGGAGCTAGGATTATATGCTTCCTAAGTTCAAAGGAGGGAGTATTCTCATCTGGAGTCAGTGATCACGGCAGGTTGCATGGCACAAGTGACAGTGGGGCTTTAAAGAACAGGTAGGATTTTTGAAAGGTAAAGATAGAAATCAGGAGAAATTCCAAGTACAAGGAAAACTGGACATAATAGTATGTGGCAAGTTCAGAGGAACCGAGAAACTATGTAGAGAAGAAGGGATTCAGGTTTGTGATAGCATATAAAGGCCTTGAATGACAAGCATGTCAATGTCCTAGTATAAACTAGCTGTGGTGTTGGCCCTATTAATGGAAAAGAGCCATTCCTGGAAGATGGGCAAGGCAGCTCAATTCTTCTGGCGAGAGGCAAATCCTGATGGGATCTGGGTCTTAACCAACCAGGTTTTAGTTCACAATCCTCAGCCCCCATCTCTATCAATTCACCTAACTCTGAAAGCCAGTTCTGTCTGGGTAAACAAAGTATCAGTCCTTGAATAAAAAGAGCATCTTCTGGCATTTTTGTTAAAAGAATTCTGCAACTTACTGCACAGATGCCCTAGATAGGGCAAGCAGACAGAACAATCACTGATCACAGCAAGACACAATTTGAAGCTATAATAATGTCCACTTCCCTACAGACACCCTGAACATGGTTCATATCCAGCACATGATGGTTTCTCTAACTGCTCATTAGAGAACTAACCTTTCAAGTACACCGAGTGTTTCAATTTCTCTAAGCTTTACAGGGCTTTTCTATAAATATTTCTAAAGTAAGGTAAAAGGAGTCTTGCTTACCAGTTAGGTAAAGTTTTTCATATGTTTTACGTCTTAAGAAATGTGAAATTCCTTGTGAGTAGTGGCATCATGCTATACTTATGGAAATCTTCAGAGTGTAGAACTGTGTAATATACACAGTAGGCATCCAATAAACATCTACTGATTGGTGGGTTTTTGTATTACAACTCAAAAACAATGTTAATAGCCTTAAATATATTATCTCTTAAATATAAGAGAATAGTTCTTAACCCACATTCCATGGAGAAGTTTAGAATGTCCATGACTCCCTGAAATCATATACAAGTTGTATGCACATGTGTATTTCCTGAAGGGACAATATGTTGAGTTTTTGTTTGTTTTCATTTTGGATTCTTAGACAGTCTAACTAAAAAAAGGCTGAGAATTATTGTCCTAGATTATGACAAAATTATATTAAGATCTTTGCAACTCTAAAACCAGAAGTCCTTTTCATCTTTAAGAAAACCAAAATAAAAGTAAATTTAAGATTTTCCCTATTCTACTGTCATTGTAAACGATCTTATGCAGAGCTAAAAAAAAAGTGGTTGCGCTGCCAGGAAATATGTCTATTTTTTCTTGCACTTGCCCTAAAGAGATGTTCATGTAATTTCACAATTATTTAAGTTGAGAAACTCCATCCCTTAGTTTTACCATCAGTAAAATGAAGAAAATTAAACTAGAACTGTTTCTCTAAACTAGGAAATGTTCTATACTTCTATAGCTAGTTCCAGAAAATGTTCATATATGGCCAATAATACATTATGTTTGGGCAATCAATATTAAGCAATATTTAAAACGTCTCTTTTTTTATTTTTGCAGGACTCCTCAGTACTTCTATAGTAATAGTCAATTGCATGATCTTCAAAGGGGAATAGTATACCCAACTTTTCCCAAGTAAATATGATCACAAAATCTCTATTCTCTAGAGTAGTGCTATCCAACAGAAATATATTAAGACCCACATATAAAATGTTAAGTTCTCTAAGTAGACATATTAAAAAGAAAGGAATCAGGTGAAACTAATTTTAACATTTTATTTAACTCAACATATTAAAAATATTAACATTTAAACACATAATTGTAGTAAAAACTCTTAATGAGGCATGCTATATTGTTTTTTCATACACTTTTGAAATCTAGCATGTATTTTATATGTATAATATTTAGCAGTTCAGGCTGACCAGATTTTAGGGCTCAATAGCTACATGTGACTAGTGGCAACTATTGGACAGCACTATAGCATCTTGCAGACCAATGTGCTATTAAAAACTCTTTGAAAAACAGTAATCTATGTAATCTTTGATGTTTCTTTTTTCTCTTGTCATTGCCATGCATTCATATAAACACACATACATACACACAAACACAAAAAACAGATTCACTTAGGAATGTCCTTAATGAAACAAGAGAAATTATGCATTTTATTGTATCTCAACACTTGACTAAGACTTTAATATTGTGTGATAATTGCAAAGTACATAAAAAGTACTTCTCTGCATATTGATGGATAGTTATCCCCAGAAAAGGCACTTGTGTGATTAAGTTGTGAGTAAAGCTGCTTTTTAAAATTATTATTATTTGAAAGCAAAATAGACATATTATGATTATTCAGACTTGGGTGTTTGGCAGATGTTTTCTCAAAAACGAACCCAGTGAGCCTTTCATGCCAAACATCTGATACTAGTTATGCCAGTGGTGAAATTTGAATTTCGAAGTTAATATTATCATTTCAAAAGATCTACACCACCACTGTGAGCCTGACAGTTTCCCATTAGACTTTCTGATAGTTTGGTACCGATTCCCAATGTGCCATTGACAGTATCGAAATGGCAACCTTTTGGTGATGGGATGATGCACCAAAAGATTGCAGGCAGTGGATGGTTGTTATACTTTCATATCAATGTTTCTCTCTTCCCCTCTCTTCCTCGTTCTAAAAATCAATGAACTATTGTTATTTTAAAACGGCTACTAATATATTCCTCCCTTTTCCAGTGATGTATCTGTGTGAGGCCAGATATTCTTCATATAATGTTCTTTAAGCACATGACTGACTGCAGAAGTACACTTGAGAATCCAGGTGACTTCTATGAAGTCCAACACCAAAGAATTTTGAAAAAATGTAAAAAACGTGCCATTCTTCTCACTTAAGTTGGTGGGTTTTTTTTGTTTGTTTGTTTGTTTTTGTGTGTGTGTGTGTGTGTGTGTGTGTGTGTGTGTGTGTGTGTGTTAAAAATGTTATTTAAGTTAACATAATAGCTTATTGTGTTTTTTTTAAATTAATACTTCTAATTTGTTGTATAATAAATATTGATAGATAGATGTAACCAACCAAGTGAAAGCTCTTAAGGCGTCTCCAATACTTTTTAAGAATCTAAGTCCTAAGACCAAAAAGTTTGAGAACTGCTGTACTAGACTACAGAAGCATTTCTTATTTGTACATATAACACTTCTAATTCCTACAAACTAGCTCACACATTATGCTAACAGACATCTATGACATGGCGTATGTCTTGATAAATAATTCAAGACTCCTGAATGATACCTGCAATGTTAGCTCCCCTCGTATTTCGCTGGCTGTATTTTAATGTCTCCAGAATGAATGTTTGCTTGCCTATGGTTTCTAAGAAGCTGTCAAAGGCTCATGTGGACAACAACAAGAAACAGGTTAAGAGTAAAAAGTTTCTGCTTGTAAGAACTCATAATTTCTAAATCATTTGCTGAATGTCTCACAACTTATTAAGTGAAGTCATCTATGAATGCAAATGCTGATTAGCAATTTGGCAATAGCCCAACATTCGCAGAATTCACATAGCTTTTCTTTAAACCAGTAGTTCATACATGATTAATTAGAACATCTCATTTATGTAGTGTGCACTTTAGCTCATTACTCTAAGTAAAATTCGTTAAGTATTTACATTTAGATAATTAAAATCTGGGTACACCCTTAAGAAAGATGCATACACTTTAGGCAAAGTGATTTTTTTCCCCTTTATATCACTGAAAGTAAATTACAGCCTCATTTACAGTCTCATCTGTACCAGTTTCAGAGCACAACATAGTACTGCCTCATTTCCTATTCCTTAAAAGGTAACATTTTAAAAATATAAATGCAGTAAGAATAATCAAATGACTGCAGAATTTTAAAGGGCCACCCAACCACATATTAGCATCAATGCTGTTTATAAAGTGGGATGCTCATTTCAAACATTTATCATATCTACCATGACTATATTATTAAAATAGACAGTGGAGTCCTTGAATTTTTTAATTTAGAATAATAGCAGAAATCTTTTTCTTTTAATCCCGCTGCTGAAAACTATCTAGGATGTATTTTTTGTGTGTATCTTAAAGCATACATTGCAATAACAGTTAAATGAACATAAAGTACTGAAGGCCTCATGTAAGAAAAATAGTTTCAATCTATTATTATTATTATTATTATTATTATTATTTTAATTTCAGCGAGGAAGGGAGAGGGAGAAAAAGATAGAAACATCAATAATGAAAGAGAATTATTGATTGGTTGCCTCCTGCATACCCCACACTGGGGATCAAGCCTGTAACCTGGGCATGTGCTCTTGACCGGAATCAAACCTGGGACCCTTTAGTCCACACGCCAACACTCTATCCACTGAGCCAAATCGGCTAGGGCTCAATCAATTCTTAATCTGAGACTTTTTG